AAAAAAAAAAAACAAGCAAGTGCATTTGCACAGTCATTCTTTCAAGGTGCAACCATATGTATAGATAGACATACAGATATATATATATATATATATATGTGTGTGTGTGTGTGTGTGCACTCCAATAATGAATAGCATCAAAGTGTTAAGAAGGTTGACAACAAGCATCGCTCGGCCCGCAAGTTTGATATTTATTTTGTCTTTTTTTTTTCTGGTTGTTGTTGTTGTTGCTTTTTCTTAGTTTTTTGATGTTTTGCTGGTGTCTCCTGCTCCAGAGGGCTATTCCTCGGCCTCGTTTGGTTCTTTTTTCTTCCTTTTTTTTTTTGGCTTTTGCTCAGAGTTTTGCATCTCCTACATGTTCTGCCTTTGTGGCCTTTGACAACTGCATATTCCGCACCAGCGCCGTCACGATCCGCTGACGCAGGGCCGGGTGCAGGGTGTGGCCGAGTCCACAGAAGGTCACGAGCTTTGCGTTTGGAATAATACCCGCTAGCTGCTGCCCGTTGGCGTACGGCACAATCGGGTCATTGGTCCCGTGCAGCACCGTGGTGGGCACGTGAAGGCGCCGCAGCTCTGGCACACGGCTCGGTGCGTTCAGCAGCGCGACGTACTGCCGAACAGCGCCGCTGAAGTCAGAGCTGCGGCGCACTATTCGACGCAGCTGCCGCTCGCACGCCTCGCAATCAATGGGATACGCTGACCCTGCCCCACCAGCAAAGCGCTCAAACAGGGACACCAGCATCTGCACCAGCGCATCTTCATCTTGCCGTGACGGCTGTGCTCGCCCATTGCGTCCGCGTAAAGAGAGCGGCACCGCAAAGCCGTTGCGCGCGACTTGTGCGGCGGAGTTCGCTAGCGCCAGCCCCTCACGCAGTGACGGCCACACCGTCTGCGGGGAGCTGCTGTGCGTTGACATGAGCGCAAGACTCGCAACGCGTGCCGGGTACCGAAACGCCATGATCTGCGCAATCATGCCGCCCATGCACATACCCACTACGTGGGCCCGCGCAATGTGCAGCGCGTCGAGTAGTCCAACTGCATCCTTCGCCATGTCTTGAAGCGTGTAGGCCTCGCGGAAGATCCGATGGCGCCCCGGTACGAGGCTCACGTAAGCCAGTCGCGCGTAGAGAGCGGGCGCGCTGTCCAACAAGCCGAACCAGGAGCGCCTCAGCGGGGCGACGCGGGGCCCGCCCTCCCACACCTCGCCTTCATCCTCCCCTTCGTCCATCACCCCTGGAGCGGCAGCAGCAGCGGTAGAAGAAGAAGAAAAGGAGGCATAAGAAGCGGTTCCCTTTGTTGTTGTTGTCGACGACGATGCAACATTCTGGCTCGTAAGAAACGTGCTTCGTCCAATGTCGCGGTTGTCGTAGCGAATGACATAGTACCCACGCGCCGCGAGGCATGCGCAGAACTTCCCATCCCACAGCAGCGACGGGGAGATGAGACCCATCACAAGAAGAACAGCACCGCCCGCCGCGTCGGGCCGCCCAAACGTCTGGTAGCAGATCCGAATAGGGACGCCGGTGCTTGCACAGACACCAACATCCGCAAACTTCTCCTCAGATATTACTGTCTGCCCCTTCACAGGTTCGCCACCCGCATCTGCCCCCACGCGAGTCCGCACAGAGGTGGGCGGCGATGGACTCTGGCGCCCCACACACCCCGCCACCATTTTCCCCCTGCGCCTCGTGTAATAGGCCTGGGTGTACGTGTTTCGTCCTTCCGTTTCCGTTGGTGCCGTTGTGCAGTATCACGCGGCAACAACGACTCCTTTTCAGCTTCTTCTCTTGTGGTTTTCTTTTTGTGTGTGTGTGTGTGGGTGGGTGCTCGTTTCTTTACTACACGTGTCCACGCGTGCAGCGTTCCTGTCGGCTCTTGTGAAGGAGAGATCCGCACCTCGATGCGAGTTTCAAAGAAAAGCGGGCGTGGGTGGGTGCGAAGAGAGAGGGAGAGAGCGAGAGAAAGTGGAGAAGGCGGGACAGAAGAGGGGCGGAGAGAGGACGGGCAAGGCAAGCCAAGCCGCCAACCAAACAAATAAATAAATCAACACATGGGAGTAGATGCCACGCGCAGCGGCCGTATTGGCCACGCCGAGTGTTGGCATCCATAATGGCGACCGTAGCGCACACGGAGGGACGAGCGCCGGCGGAAGCATCAGAGGAATAGGGAGCCCCCCGCCGCCGCCGCCGCCGCCGCCGCCGCTGCTGCTGCTGCAGAGTCGCCCCTGCGCGCCTCGCGTGTTAAGAACATAGGGGCCTGATGAAACCAGCAACAACAACAACAACATCATCATCATCATCCGCAGCGGTGGCGGTGAAAAGCCAAAGGAAAGGAAAACAAAGGAAGCAGAACAAAAGCGAGGCGTCACCACAGAGAGAAGATGCGTGGGGCGTCAAGGGAGACGATGGACGGAAGAGGTGAGGTCAAAATAATCGGTGAGGCGAAATCATCATATAAGCCTTTATTTGCCATTGTCGTGTTTCGCTCCTTCCGTTCCCTTCTGCCCCCTCGCCGCACTCCGACCAAACGCCGCGGAGTCGCGAGTGGGGCTCACGAGAGAGGAGCGATCAAGCCAACAAACAAGAAACAGAGGGGGATTGAGAACGGACAGAAAGAAGACGAGGAACAAAGAAACAAACAAAGAAACCACCGAAAAAAAAAAACATCAAAGAAACAAACGATGAAATGGCGGAAATAAAACGATGAAATAATTGAGGCGTGGCAAAAAACACGACGTACAAACAATCAGCTTCGCCGCCGGCACACACACAGATATATATATATATACATGTGCACGTATATGCGCTGTTGTATGTTGTATGTGGGTGTGGATGTGTGTGTTTTCCCTCTCTATCTCTCGCTCTTACTCGCTCCCTCCCTCTCTATATATGTGTGTAATTATAAACATGCAGAGACATATAACACGTGTGTGTGTGTGTGTGT